TAGAAGTAGACTTTATGAATGGTTTAGACCTGGATGCATCTTTCCTTCATTCTTGGAGTGAATTCCAAAGTAAGTCTGTTGACTTCTGGTTTCTCTAGTTCTGCTCCTATATTGATTTTTGGTTCTGTTTTAGTTTTCATGCACCACCATGTAATTATTCCCCTCTGTGGCAGTAATGACTAGGAATCTGGCTTTATGGTCTAACCACTTGGAGATCTCTGTAAATGGATGATGTAAATCTATTCTGAAGAGAAGATCTAGAAATTTGGTTTATCAGACCTTTTAAATTGTACATTTTTTGAGGATAAATCAATTAAAAATTTATTTCTATGAAGGGAAATACCCGATGAATTCAGCAATTAGTGAAGTTGTAGAATTGAAGCTATTATGTTGCTTATGTGTCTATAACCCATTAATAGATTAAATTATACTGTGTCTTAAAGGTGCTCTGCTCTGATTGGCTTAGAGAGATAAAGTTTGTTTATAGAAATAGGTTATTTCTTAAAATTCCCATGTAATAAAGATTCTGAACTTGGAGTATCTATTCAATTACTTTATTTTTGAGAGATGGTCCCAGATTTACCTCAGACTTTTAAACTCAAGGCTTCCTCTTGCCCCACTTTCCCAAGCAGTTGAGACTAATGTGCATACCACCATACGTGACAACTTATAATATTTAAAATGTGCTTCATTGCAAAGATTCTCTTGGGCTGGAAAGACAGTTCTGATTGAGTGCTTATCTTGTAAGCATGAGGACCTGAGTTTGAGGCCCAGAATCAACATAAAAAAGCTGGGTGTAGTGGTGTGTATTTGCAATTCCAGCATTAGGGAGGTGGAGACAGGCAGATCCCTGGGGCTCACTGGCTTACCAAGCTAGCCTACTTGGCAGCTCTAGGCCAGAAGAGACCCTGTCTCAAAAAAATGATGACTGCTTGCTTGCTTGCTTCCCTCCCTCCCTCCTTCTCTCCCTCCCTTCCTCTTAAGTACACAAAATTCTTTTTGGAACTATAAGTGGCTGACAGGAGTTTCTGGCAGCGTTTTACCCTTCTCCCTAGTTACTCTAAACTACTCTTCCCACTTTGTAACCATTCTCCGCAGCAATGAAGAACTCTAAAGAGAGGCTCATGCCTTTCCATTGGCTATCAGATATTGAAATAATGACCCCCCCCTCAAAGAATTGGAATTTTTACAGGAGACTCATTATGGGAGAAGAAAAAGTGTGAAACCTGGTATCAGCAGAGAAGTAATTTGCTTCCTCAAAGGAGATTTCACAGAGTTCTGACAACTTGTCAGACCACTTTGCCAGACAAACTGGAGTTGAGGTAATGATGGGTCAATGATGGGTGAGACCACACCTTGCCTAGGACTGTTTATCTATTCATACCTCTTGCCATGTATTTAAACCTAAGCCTCATGTGAGAATCTCAAAGATGGACTTGGGGTGGGCGTGGGGTCACTGGACCTCTTTGTTTCTCTTCCTAGTGTGGCCGATTGAATAAATTTCCTTTTTCTGCTTTTCATTGTTACTTGTTTCTTTAATCAGCATACTGATGGGTGGCTGAACCTAGGTTGTTAGGGTTGGTAGGGCTCAGGACTCAACAATTCCAGTAATAACTGTAGAAGGTAAGGACAGTTAGTAGCTCCTGGGAATACTTTAGAATACCCCGTCCTAAAACATCTTTCCTAATGAATTAAAGGTCTGGTGTAGTAACTCACAGAGAGCAAAATAAATAAAATCAATGTTCTTAACTATATTGGCTTTGTTTAAAAGAAGCAAGTCCCTAAGATAATTGTGACATCTTTGTTAGCACTAGTAAAGAGTGCCAGATTCAGAAGTTCCCATCTTGTCTTTACAACATTGGAGTCACAAGTACCAAAATTGTATACTATAAGCTTTTGCCTCTCTAGAAGTACTAGAAAAGACAAACTTTAGGTCTGCCCAGTGGCAATATGGCACAATTAGCTCACTAGGAACTAATATAAGTTCTATATGAAACAATCCCTAGAAATAACAAATTTAGCATTTAAATAGTCTTGACTTTGGGGTGTGCTCCTGTGATACTGAGGTCAACTTGATGGCAATGAAAACACATGCGCTGCAAATAATTTCTTACAGTTTTACCACAGTGCAGCTCTCAAACCCAGCCTTGGCAGCTCAGGAGAGGTCTGTAGCAATGTGCTTTACCTGGTGCTAAAGGCTTCTGGGAGACTTGAAGGAGACTTACAAAGCCATTTATGAGTTGTAAGAATACCTGTTTACACTTTCCTGCTGGAAATAATTTGAAATGGTAGTCTTAGACTGAGATTCTTATTCTTCTGTGGTTTTTGGTAGCTGAAATGCTGTTCTTAAAATAATCTAAAAGTAATATTTGTGAATGGAAGGCAGGCATTTTCTGTTCAAGCTACTAAATTCTGATATTTGCTCTCAGAGACAATAGAGTCCATGGATCAGCTCAGGTTTAAGTTTATAGATAAAAAGGGCAGGGTCCCAATAGAGGGATACTTTTGGAAGCCCTTGTCAAAATATTCCAATGGACTCTCATATGAACATTTGAAAATTGCCCTGCTCTGACTTTTTTCTAGTTCCCTGTCTAGAACTGTTAGACTAATTACTCTTGCCGTTACTTCTCCTTCACATCTCCTATTCATGATTCAAGGACTTTCTTTTCCCCTTAGAGACAAGAGTTATGCAATTTGGGAGTCTTTTAGATAGACTCACTGAAGGGGTACTCCAATTGCCTCGCCCTGCGTCCCTGTTCACAAGGAAGAAGTCAGAGCGGTCTGTGTCCCTATTCCCTACAGGCAATTTGGGTAACCCCTTCAGAGGATGGCATGATAAGAATAGGAGGTAGGAATTGGCTAGGCAGTTAGGGTAAAAAGACCCCAAAGAAATGTAGCCAGTTTCTTGGCTAAAACTCAAAATGTCCTTGGGCCTGTTAGCAACATACTCTGTTCCAAAGGCCAAAGATGTCAAAAGTATTTGGGAGTTTGTATCTAATCCTTAAAAGGTTTTAGGGTTACCTCTTCAGACGAGGGAATGTTGGACGAGAGGGAGTGGGCATGGATTTGATCAGAACACCTTATATGCATGTATGAAATTTTCAATAAAGTTTCTGTAAAAGTTAAAAAAAAAGAGGGGCAGGGTCCAAGATCATATCTCTCTATAATTTATCTTAAAATAAATCAAGCTCCTGAAGGTGGAGAGAGGCTGACTAGACCTCAGTGGATGGACTTGCACGGGGGAGTATGTGGGGATACTGACTTGACACATTGGGTCTTAATACGGATGACAGAGTATATGGGTTCCAGTGGGGGGGGCTGTGGGAGCGTGTCAGTGCGGATGGGGGTATAAAGATGATTAAGAGTCTTTGAGATATTCTGTATAAAATATATACAAAATTCAATAGAAGCAAATTTTAAAAAAGAATGAAAATGGGAATTTTTTTTTTTTTTTTTTTTGAGACAGGGTCTCCCTTATAGACATAGCTGGCCTGGATCTCAGAGATCTGCCTGCCTCTTTCTCGCGAGTACTGGGATTAAAGGCGTGTATCAGAAAATATGAATTTTGATAAACTGCTATTACTAAATTTATTTATTTATTTTTGGTCTTTTTGAGACAGGGTCTCCCTGCAGCCCCAGCTGTCCTGGAACTCACTATGTAGACCAGGCTGGCCTTGAACTCACAGAGATCCACCTGCCTCTGCCTCCCGAGTGCTGGGATTAAAGGTGTGCGCCACCACGCCTGGCTATTATTACATTTTTACTATAATGACTTAGTCATTAGTATGAGATATAAGAAAATTTAAGAAGAGATTATAGGCTGGTAAAATATTCTTGAAACATTTCCAAAATATTTTTGAAAACAAAATGTAGGTTTTATTATTATAGCAAGGAATATTTTACTTCAATAATATTATCTAATAGATCCAACAATCATAAGTTAACACATTTTCTTTTTATTTTATGTGTATGCATGTATTGCCTGCATGTGTGTAAGTGCACCCATGTCATGCAATGCCTGTGGAGGTCAGAAGAAGGCGTTGGATCCCCTGGAACTGGAGTTATGAACAGTTGTTAGCTGCCATGTGGGTACTGGGAATCAAATTTGGGTCCTCTGTAAGAGCAGCCAGTGCTCCTAACTGCTAAGCCATCTCTCTAGCCCCCATTTATGAGTTTTATAAAGAAGGGCCTTCTCTATTTTTTGCCTAAAAGATTTTGGTAAGGTCTAGAATATATGATATGTGAGATGGTGGCCTCTGGAAGTTCATGTTCAGATTGAAAAAGGGAGGATCCTGGAACTCTACATTAGGCATATAAAGGAAGTACTAATGTAGTAAAAGCAAGTGAAAACAAGAAAAGTCTTTAAGGCTAGAGTAAAAAGCATTCTGCAATTTCTAGGCTGCTATTGAGGCAAGCACCCTGACCTATTCCTACTGTATCCTTTCTAGAAAGACCAGCAATTTCTAAAGTCCTATATGCTTTCAACTTTGTGGGGTCCTGGTTAAAAATATCAGATATATACCTGTCCTAGTTATCATTAACTGTCAACTTGACACAGCCTACAATCACCTGAAAAAGCAGTCTCAATTGAGTAACTGTCTTTATCAGGTTGGTCTGTGGATATGCCTGGGAGGGACTGTCCTGATTGTTAATTGATATAGGAGGACTCAGCCCACTGTGGGTGGTCCTGTACCCTGGACAAGTGGTCCTGGACTGTATAAGGAATGAGCATGAGCCTGCAAGTGAGCCAGCAAGCAAATGTTCCTTCATGGTGTCTGCTTCAAGCTCCTGATGCTTAAGTTCCTGCTCTGATTTCCCTCAATGACAGACTATGACCTGGAAGTGTAAGCCAATAAATCCTTCCCTCCTCTAAGTTGCATTGGGTCAGAGAGTTTACCACTGCAATAAAAATCAAACTAGAACACTTCCAGACCCCAGAAATCAGTCATATTCAAGGACATTAAAGTGAATAAATCTTCATGAGTTCCAGTTTTTCATACCTTTTCCCCCATGGATACACCTCCTGATGTGATGATGACATCAGCACGACTGATACCCTCATTCAAGGCATTGAGTAAGTCATCTGGGCTAGAAAAAATAAAGAGAAATACATTAATATACAAAGGCAATATATTAGATACAGTGTTTACTTAAAACCATGATGGAGGGGTGAGACAATGTGAAAGATAAACAATGCCTAGCTAGTTTTGAAAACCAGAGAGAATCATATTACTCCTACAACCTACTGACAAATTATACATACGAGATCAAGAAATATACATCTAGGTAAGGTTTATCTGAGAACAACTGGTCTTTGCCTAAGATAATTAAAAATACCAGACTAATAGAACTAACCTTCTTGGGTGTTTAACAGACATACTTTGAGGTCTATAATAATTCAGTCAGAGGGACATAAAGGACACTTTTTGCTCCTTGCCCTCCTAGGTCCACTAGTTCCAGGGGACTGTGGGCATCTCTCAAAATGTCCTGTGATGGTGGTGGATCACCTGTCCTCTTGATCAAGAAGGCCGAGGATACCCCACCAGACGGACTTGAACCAGTGTCCTATCTGTAGGGAGGAGGGTCAACACAGAGGAATCATGTCCTCCATGCTTCCAATTGAAGCCAACCATGGTGAGGCAGGACCTTTGACTTATCTTCACATAGGTAGAACTTGTAAAAGAAAGGAGCCAGTGGCTCCTCTCAAGCCCATGTGACCCCGGAGGAACAGATCCTCAAACGACCTTAAAAGTAAAAATAAATCGGTTTATCTGGACCAACTGTATGGCCTTAAACACCCAAAAGGAAAGTATAACCAAAGATTAAATGGGCTAACATAACTTCATAAGAGTCCATATGTATAGCTAAAGGCTACATAACAAGCAAGAATGTCAGACAAGTGATACCTTCTTTTGAGTTGATGGCCAGAGTGGCCAAAGGGATTCCCAGATAAGTAACCCAGCACAGAACTGGGAAAATGAACAGCAGACCCCCAATCTTATCTAAAGGAATATAGACAACTAATTACTGCTAGATGAGGAACAGCTGACCTTCCTAAAACAAAGACCTTTAGATAGGCTGACTAGATTCACCAGAAGGGCAAGTAGTGGGGAATGGCTGGGGGTGCCGACAACACAGTAGACAGTAGCAGGGATATCAGAGTATAAGGGCTCTAGTAAGGGGAGGGAAGCTATGGGAGGGTGCTACCTCGGAAGTGGGTGTATAAATAAAAAAACATTCTTCAAAGCATAAAAATTTGCTCTTTAATAATTAGTAGACGTGAAAAACATTACCATTGAAATCTACCTGATGACTTTATATCCATGCTCAGATGCCAAGGAGCTCAGAAAGTAACTGACTGTGACTAGTAATAATCAGATATATAGAGATTAGAAATGCATGTGCATCTTAGTGTCAATTGTATTAAAAATGAATTGTTTTGTATGAAACTATTTTAATAATGAAATGGAGATCTTTTTTAAAGTTAAAATCTCATTTAATTTTATGTCTTATAGGGTTTAGACAGAGTACAATATTGTATAACTGTATTAATTCAACTATATACCTAAAAATTCACAGCCAATTTTGAAAGAGATGCATCTTAGCTCTGGAAATTGTTATTGAATATGTCAATGCTGTTGTAATGAAATGCTTCTTCTAATTATATGGTTATTAACTAAATAATTAAAAAAATAAAACTAAATCATTTTGGGGCTGGAGAGATGGCCCAGTGGTTAAGAGCACTGACTGCTCTTGCAGAGGACCTGGGTTCTATTCCCGGCTGTGGCAGCTAACAACTGTCCTCCAGTTTCAGGGGATCTGATACCCTCTTCTGACCTCCATGGGCACTGCTCTACATGGGTGCACTTACATATATACAGGCAATACACTCATACACATAAAATAAAAATATTTAAAAAATTCACTTTATCCTCTGAGTATACATTAACAATATATTCTGTGTGAAGGAAAATCAAACGGACCTCTGTAGTAAAAGCAAAAATCTTGATGTAGAAAAAGGACCTTGAAAGTGCTGAAGTAGTGACCACTGGTGCTTTTACAGGGTTTCCTGTTCAAACAATGTAGAATAATGAGGAGAAAATGAAGTGTTATAGAGTGTCTAACTATTTTGATTTACTTAAAAATATCTCATATACTAAAAGTTACATGAATCTGGAAATCCCAGGCATACCAGTATAGCTGGTCATGCTAGGTATTGGGAGGAGCATATAAAACTCTTTAGAGAGCCAGGTGTGGTGGCTCACATCTGTTATCCTAGCAATCAGGAAGCTAAAGCAGGAGGATTGCTGTTGAGTTTGAGGACAGCTGGGGCTACATAGCAAGATCCTGTCTCAAAAAACAGAAAACAAACCAAAACAACAAACAAAGACTCTTTGAAGGGAATGAACTGAGTGAAGGCCTGAAAAATGGGCTGGATTTGGACAGGCACAAAGGAATGTCAAAGGGCTTTATAAGCAAGAGAATTACACTAATGAGAACCTGGAAAAGTGATTAAGCCTGAAATGTTTTCAGATCAGTATGGGTCATGGCTTGATTACAGTAAAGAATTTAATTGGAATGATGAGGATAAGTATGACAAGGTGATTTTGGAGACTCTGTCAGGCTTAAAACTATGGAGTTTGTCAAATAGGAAATGGAAGGGGATCCCTAGGAATATGAAAAGCAAGTAGGTATTTATTTGGAAAAGAAAGTGTAGAAAAAAAGGAAGGCAGGCTGAGTGTGTAAGAACTATTTTGAGACGGTAAAAGGACAGGATGAATATTCAGGATTGAAACTAGGCACATGCCTGTCAGCTAGATGGTAAGTCCTTGATGGTATGGATATCATAGGTCTGGGAGAAGACGGGGGTGGTGGTGGTGTGTGTATAGGGACATGGGGACAAAAACAAGGGCCTCGTTCTCTGGATATTGAGCTGCAAAGGACTATCTTGGGACCGAATGATTGAGAGTAAACAAAATGCGAGGCATTAGAACTCAAGAATGGGCAAGATGTCAGGGAGTAGCTGAGAGGGACTATTTAGTCACCACTTTAAATACATATAAAGCTACTGAGCAATGTGACCTGCACATAGCATTTCCCTTGAATTGACGGTACACAGAGAAAGCACACTCTTGTTTTCTGAGAACTTCTTGCTTATGTAGGAGAGGGGCATTTCCCTGACTCTTCTACTTTGTCCCTCATGGATTTCTAACATGGACATCTAAAAAGGGAGTAAGCCTGCCTTTTGATTTTCTAGGGCCTGCTTTTAGTCCCTCTTCAGGTTCTACTCCATTCTTTGTCTTGGGTTCATGAGATAACCCCGTGATGTCCCATAAATCCCTCTTTTTGCTTAAGGTTACTTGAGCAAACTTTGATCAACTAGAAATCAAATAATCTCTCAGTGAGACAGCATGTGTTTCCCAAATCTCATGATTGTGAAGCTGAATATCCTGCTATCTTAATGTACTTGACAAGGAGGGAGAAAGAATGTTATGACACCACATGAAGTAAAAGTGTCTGAGCTTAATCCTGGTATCACTACTTGCTAGATGCCAAACCTTAGACAAAGTACTTAACCCCTTTTTGCCTCAGTTTTTGATATGTAAAGTAGGGGTAATAGAGCTATTGGGACATTAAATAACATAATATATAAAACACTTGGAATAGTAACCAGTTTTTGTACTGACAGAAGTTAATGTCTTGTCCAATAACCTGGTAAAGTATAATTTTAGCATACCAGGCAATTTTTTTTTTTAACATTTTGGAGGAAATCTTAAGTAGGGACTTAACTACATCCATTGAGGTGCATGTGAAAGGTCTAAATAGCAAGGAAGGCCGTTTTCTGGCTTTAATCATTGCTATTTACTACCAGGTTCCTTTATGAGATCTGGATAAAATTTCCCTTTATTCCAGCATTTTCCTGTCCATGAGTATACTGGGTTGTTCTGGATCTGGGAAGCAACCTCCCAAGGAGAAAGATGAGAGTAAAGATTTGAAAAGTGCTTTATGGGAGGTTCAGTCTACCAACATGGGGACCCTTTGGAGTCTTTCAGTTATGTGACTGCACTGGTTACAGCTACAAGAGTACCCATGTATTTGTTGAAGGTAGAGTCTATGTATAAAAATAAAAAACTTAAAATTATGCAAGTGATTGGTTCTTGAGGCTCAGAGTCCTGGGCTCCTTGCCTTGCTGGATCCTACTTTCATTGAGTCTGATGGCTGATCTAAGGATTAAATGAGGAAAGCATAAAAACACAGCACCATTTAGAATGTAGTTCAGGTGAATGGATAATGAATATTATCAACAAAATGCAATTCTGTGTTAAAACAAGGAAACAGTTAATCTCATCCAGCCGTATATCTCACCAGTCAGGGATGGAAGAACATTTGTGAAACTATAAACATTCAGATAACTGAGCACTAAGTAATATTCTGGAAAAGTGACTGTAAATGAGAAAGTGAATTAGAAGAGACCTCAGCTAGGAAACAGAAAAGGGTTCTGTAGTGAAATATCCATCTGTGTATTCACATACATTTAATTATGAAAACAAATAATTGAACTGAAATAATGATTGAATAAACTGGAGAATTATAATTGCTGAATATAAACTCAAGTTATAGAAATGTAACGTAAAAGAAAATTTACAAGCCGGGCATGGTGGCACACGCCTGTAGTCCCAGCACTTGGGAGGCAGAGGCAGGTGGATCTCTGTGAGTTCAAGGCCAGCTTGGTCTGTAAAAAAAAAAAAAAAAAAAAAAAAGAAAATTTAATTAAAGCATTTTTCTTCATTACCTAAAAGTAGAGGGGTTGGAGGGGGTAAATGGGAGAAGTAAATAGGGATAGATCTGGGAGGAGTTGGGAAAGGAGGGAATATGACTATGCATTGAATGATATTCTCAAAAAATTAATAAAATATTTTTAAAAGATCTCATCTGATTGATATAGGTGGGCATGAGAATGTCTGTAGGAGGGATATAGTCAACACCTTTTTATATGACAGTGAATAAAAGCATATTGACTATGAGCATCACTAGTTGGAAGGAAAATATGAAGGGAATTGAAAGGTCTGGCAGAACTTCCAAAATAA